TTAGAGAGAGAGGAAAGAAGAGACAGAGAGAGAGACATCAATCGGCTGCCTCCAGCTGGGGATCAAGCCTGCAACATGGGCATATGCCCTGACTGGGAATTGAACCAGCAACCTTTTGGTGCATGGGTCACTGAACAGACTGGCCAGGCATATCTGTAATACTCCTAAAGCATCAGTGCACGTCCATCTATATCTTGTATAGATCAAAGAATGTTCTTATGTTTTATGTTTCCATCAGTTTATTTACATTTTTACTCTGAAACAGTATTTTCCAGTGATCTCATTTCCTCCAATGATAAGGTTACCTACTGTAGGTTACCTGAGTCTTATACATCAGAGAAATTACAGAAGAGGAGCTTTTTTCAGGGCCACGTTCTACATCCCCTTTCAGAAATTGGCAGCGAATTTTATACTTCTTAGCCATAGAAGGCATGGGGATATTTCTGCAGCTCTGTGGAAAGTAGACTCCTTCCTGGACCTGTTGTCCTAAAGGAAGCAAGAGTTCCATAGCCATACAGGAAGTTCCCCATACCATAAAATGTTTTGCTTGTATCTTTTACGAAGTGTTTTCCCTCTGAGTATGATAGCTAAACTCAATTTAGGCCAGAATTCAAGAAGAGCATCATTTGCCTTAATATTGCATACTATTACTATCCCCAGAGTCCTGCCGTAACTCAACCACGCTGTCTTTTAGGTAGGGGCACATTTATAAACATCAAGCAACTTGGGGAACGTACAAACAATGAGAATCTCAAATAAGGTCACAGTATCCGGACTGTGAAAGACTAGTTATAGGTTTGTATTTACTACAAATCTCCTTACTGATCTCTCTGTTCCTGTTGCCACGGGGATTTTACACACAGTCCAGACCGCCATCATTTTATGGAGCATGAAAAGTAAGATATATAATAGATTAACAAAAAAAAGACATTTTGATAATTTCAATTTCTTCAGAGACACCTTGGGCTTTTTATTGAGCGTATTTTTATTCAATTTTGGTATATATTTGGGAGGTACATCACAGAAAAGATAAAATAATTTGCTTTGTGTTTCATCTCTTACTATGAACTTAATGGTGTAGATAATATACCAAATTTTCATATGCCTACAGCATTATTGTTCCTTATCCAATAATATATTTTTAGCTGCAACCTTCTACTTTTTTTCTTTTTGCATAAAATTGGGGCACTCAGATGAAATGTAACAGGCAAGAAGGAACGTGCTTCCAATAATCTTCCAGTCTTAAACAGATGGAGATTATTTCATTCTACCTTGAAACTTGTTCAAGTTCTGTATTTTTAGATATGCATTTTCTTGGAAGATGCTAATTTGATGTTTGAAAATGCCCCATAGTATATTTCTGGTGTCCCAGAAAACATGTTTGTGATTTTCTTAAAAAGGGAACACATGTTCTTTAGTACACAGATTAAAGAAGTAGCATTCATAGTCTGTTTGTCATTTTTACTCATAAAAATATATATTGATTTTATGTTCTGATTGTGCTGTATCACAACATGCCAACAATTTAATTATAGTTTACAGCACCAATCTTAAAGTGATTAACCCCATCATATCTGCAGTCTCGAGTAAATTTGACTAGTGTCTCCTTCCATTCCATACAACAGATGCTGTTAAAAGACATTCCTTTTAAAGTAAGATTGCATAAATAACGGATCATTAATAATTGTGAACGTTACCATACTACAAAGAGTACTTTATTCATTAATTAGAAAATGGATCTTCTGTTTATCTGATTGAGGCTGACTGTGTACATACATTTAGATTGTGTGTAAAATTTCTGAATTACAAGTTTTTAAAGAAGCAGTAAATAATAGTAAAACTATTTTGAAAACAGTTTAACTTAGTTTTAATGATGGAGAAGATACGTCAGTATCTTTTTGTCTTTGCGGATACACATTATCATTGGGCTGGCTCCATTATAAAAGTAGAAAAATGACCAAAGATCATTCATGTGTAGAATTTGGTGGTTTTATAGTTCATATTGAGTAAATCTCTTAAATCAATTTTTTAAAACTTTAACTTTTCCGTTTACTCATAGATAGGGGCGGGGGTTGGGGGGGGGGGGACAAAAACGTATGGCCTGTTCTGTAAGCCCAGCTATTTAAATCTTCCAATGGGATTTAGGGGACATGGGAATCTATTAGTTTAGTGTCCCTGTTAGCTACCTGTGTTCTTTTCTGTATTTATTAGTGTAGAATCATGAATGTCACAATTTGTGCTTACTCTATGATTACTTTAAGTGGTTTCTCGTAATGAGCACAATTGTTTGTCATGTGGATTTTGAGAAAATTTCCCATTGTATGAAGAAACAGATTTTTAGGGTACCTCTTTCTCTTTCTGTATTTAAATAATAGCTTCCAATAGTTTAAAAATAAAAGGTGGAGGCATACACAAACTAATGATTTCTGGTTTCCATGGTGATAATTTTTAGATGCTGGCACGCATGCCTCCTAGTGTTCCCAAGCCAAAAGCTTTGATGTATTGGTTTCCCAGGTTTTATTTTTTACTAAAGATGAAGATCAGACCAACTAAACATTGCTTAAAAAAAAAAAAAATACAGTATATTTTACTCATGTATGAGAAGTCTTAAAGCCACCACAGTGCTACTTCCCTATCCATACTTTGTTGCTGTTTCTTTCTTTTTCTTTTTTTTTTCTTTTTTTCCCCCCAGTGTCACATTCCTGGAAGAAACAAAGGTAAACTGCTCATAGCTCTGATTTTAGGCTTTCTCTTCTGTAGCTCTCTTCCCAGGCACTCTAAGTCCCTGCAAAAGTTTTCTAGCCTAACAGACTGTGAATTTTACATAATCCGGTATAATAAAACCCTAATATGCAAATCAACTGTACAGTGACATGACTGGTCACCATGACATGCACTACCAGGGGCCAGATGCTCAATGCAGGAGATGCGTTGAGCGTCTGTTCCCCAAGAGAGAGGCAACTGGTGGTTGTGGCAGTCGGGCCAGGGCCGGCCGGCAAGCACCCCACTGGTCACCTACAGTAGAAGGATGCTACTAGCAGTGGGGTAGGGCCAGCCAGCAGGCAGTACTAGGCTGCCAGCCAAAGTGGGTACCAGCGGGGGGGGGTATCAGGATGCCTGTCAAAGTGGGTACCAGCTTCTAGTCCTTAATAAAACTTCAAAAATTGCTGAGTAAAAATGTTTAGCACTCCAGAATTTCACACAGAAGACTTACAAATAAAGCAGTAACTCTATCAGCCTGATAGGTACTTACATCATGTCTCAACATGTACCAGGGAAACCATATACACTCTGTAATTTTTATTGAAATACCATACTTCAGAACTGACACAATTCAGAACTAACACAATTCCACCACCTAAAAGTATACTGTCAAATAATAAATGGAGAGGTAGGTAGTTAAAAACCTATATTAAGGACATCAGCAAATCTTTCCAGATGCTAGGAAACGAAGCCTTGAGTTGAATTTGACATCAAGTTGAAGGGTTAGAATATGATGGGGTTTCACAGTTTCCCCATAAACCTTGTACCTTCAAAACTAGCCTACTAATCAGCACTGCCTAAAAGTTTTACTTCCCTTCACATAGACAAACTTTATTGAGGACAGTAAAATAAAGCCATAGCATGATGTCGGCTGTGAATCAGCACTCAGAACTGCTATTCTTGTTAGGGGTTTGCTCAATAAATACTCACTGGGCACTACGGAGTGTTATGCACCTATCCTAGGCACCAAGAAAACAATTAGGAAACAGTATACAAACCAAAGTTCCTGCCCACAGTGAGTTTATATTCTAGTGGAGAGGCGTAAAATGGACCAACTGACCTCATGTGATAAGTAGATACTGCTTTGATCTTACTTCCTTCAGGAATTTTTTCCTAAGCACCTTTCCCCCAGATATTGGCTTTCATTCTATTTCTTTCCCTCTTCCTCACACATACATGTGCCTTGTCTTCCCTCATAACTACATTCCTAGGGCCTGGCATATAACAGCTTCTTATTAAGTAAAGGAAGAAAGTCAGAAAGGAAAGAGACATGAAGGGCATTGAAATCATTATGATTGTGTATGGAGCTCAGTATGTATACAAGATTTAATTTAAATCTCTCTCTGAAGTAAGAGTGAAGCAGTATTTCTTAAAGAATGTTAGCAACATGAGGATAAAATTTGGGAAAGAAAAACTTATGAGATAATCACAACATGGGCAAGTGTATTTTGAAGGTACTGGGGAAAGGCAATATAATCTACACATAAATTTATAGAATGAAATAACACAAATTGAAATAGGGGAAAGGAGGTAAATTTTTCTGTTTTTAAGTTCAAGATGGAAGAGTGGTACAGTTGACAATAAAGCTAATGGGAGGACTAGATTTGCCTAGAGGAGACAATATCAGGTTAGATTTGTCTATATTCATTTGGAGAAAGACTAAGAATAAAAAAGCAAATGGATAAGAAATTAAAGTTTTCTTTGTTTGCAATTCTAAAATAAGATACTAAAGTTTCTATTATTTTGCAATTAAAAACTGAACAGCTTTCCATTGATTTTAGATGATATGAAATGTGATATGAAAAGCTAGCCTTCTCTCCAGAGGTTTTAGTACCAAACAATAATATCAATACCATGTGAGTTTAAGTTCAGAAGTTTCCGTTATGGAAGGTCTTTTCAAGTTCTTAGCCATCGCTATCAGGCAGAGTCTGTGCATCCTCTTGGAGGAAGGCACTGGAGAGGTGAATTTCCCAAAGGAGAACATTTATTTTAATATAGTGTATAAAAATAATTTGAGGCTGATAATCAAAATGAACCTGACATTTAGCAAAATATATTATTAAAGTGAGTATATAAAACTTATAAAAAGAGGCAAATGATTGTACAGCTTAAGGTAGAAATAGTCTTGTATTAGTGTAAAGGTTATAATACATTACTGAGAAATAACTGAACCTTTGTAGCAAGTTTTTATGTAAGATTGTCTTTAGATTTAGCTAATTAAACTTGTCTTCTTACAGATGTGCCAAATCCTGGTGTAAACAAGCCTAGAGCTTCTGACACTGTCCATCCCAACAACTATCTCATCAGGACAGAGCCAGAGCCAGGCGCCCTCTATTCACCAGAACAGACATCTCTCCATGAAAGTGAGGGTCTGTTGTGTTACCTTTTCACTATTAGATTTTCTTTTAATATCTTATTTCTGAACCTGGACCTCAGAAGTGTAAAATAAAGGTATTTCCTGCTGGCTTCATTCCTACAGGATCATTGGGTAACTCAAGAAGTTCAACGCAGATGAATTCTTATTCTGACAGTGGATACCAGGAAACAGGAAGTTTCCACAACAGCCAGAACTTGAGTAAGGCAGACAATAGACCATCGCACTCATTTATAGCATCCACTAATAACCATTTGGTGAGGCATTCAAGAGCTGAAGGACAAACTCTGGTTCAGGTAAACCAAACACATCAAGATCCTTATAAAGAAATACCCTCCTAATTGGAATATCTGTTATGAGTATTTTTAAAAAGTAAAACCAATATGTTCAATTTTGAATTTATAGAAGGATAAAATAGTGGATATATTTTACATTTTGTAAGTCTATGGTGTTAAGGAATTTTTAGGCATGAAAACTAAAAATATATTAATTGTTTAAATGAGCTCTTGTTAATGAATTCTGATAAATTCCAGACACAGAAGAGTAATTAGTTTAAAAGAAGCAAATTTTGCATGAGGCGACTGAGAGAGAACTGTGTGGAAAAGACTAGAGCTAAAGTATGTTCCTAGAGGGCTGAGCAGTAGTTCCACACCTGCATGAAATAGGAGTGACCCATTCCAACCAAAGGTTATTGCCTTCATCATTGGGATTACTCCCTGAGAACACATTTTTTTTTCTTTGCTAGCATATAAATATTTCTGCCTACAGAAGCATAACCATTCTGTTAAGTGAGGGTTTTCTAACTTGATAATAATTAAAAAAACAATAATATTGTTTATCTATACTAATAAAGGGGTAATATGCTAATTAGACTGGACATCTTCTGGACAAAGCCCTGGTGGCAGGGCCTGAGGCAGAGGCAGTTATGGGTCGATCAGGCTGGCAGGCTGAGGTGGTTAGGGATAATCAGGCAGGCAGGCAGGTAAGCAGTTAGGAGCCAGTGGTCCCAGATTGCAAGAGGGATGTCCCTCAAGGGGTCCTGAATTGGAGAGGGTGCAGGCCAAGATGAGGGACCCCCTCCCCCCATGCACGAATTTTGTGCACTGGGCCTCTAGTCTATATATATATAAAAGCCTAAGTGACTGTTATAACTGGTCAACCAAACCACCGGTCACTGTGATACACAATGACCACTGGGGGCAGATGCTCAGTGCTGAAGCTGCTCCCTGGTGGTCAGTGTGCTTCCACAATCAACCTCCTGTGGCTGGCCAACCTCCCAAAGTCATTTCCCTGCACTGGGCAAGATGGCCCTGATCGGCCCTGATTGCTGGCCAGGCCAAGGGACCCCCCCCCCCCACCTGTGTACAAATTTGGGCACAGGGCCACTAGTGTGTTTATAAAACTTCTGAGGTCCTGACCTGTTGCCACTTTATTCACTTCAGTCCACCAGCATATTCCAGAATTAATAGAAGTGGTAAGAGGAGTTCTGAAGGTCAGTAATTAGTGAGGATAACTATCTGTCCAAGTACCTTAGTAATTTCTCTGAACCTGAAACATGGTAAGATGATCAAACAAGTTAGGCAAACACTAATTTTCCCCTAATGCAATACAGGAAGCCCTGAAAGTACCACAGAAGCCTGCCAGTGTTCCTAGTGCCAGAAGAGAATCAATAGGACTTGGGCTCAACAATTTAGGGGAAATTTTTAAGAAATGAGAAACATTTCTATATTAAACAAATACAAATATAGTGCCTCATATTTTAAGCTAAAACAAAAAATCTTGTATTGCCTGTAGCTATCTACTTCAAGCTACACCCCCATCCTCAGATTATACATTTACTCCTTTGCTGTTAGGAATGCTTTGATGGAAAAGTTTAAGAAACTTTGGACTAAATGCTCTCAGGCATTCATGTCTGAGGTGAATTTCTGTCAGCAGGTTTGAAGTCACACTTTTTAATAATAATCTTAACTGCAGAAATTATCTATTTGTTCCCCTCTAAAGGTGATCATGTTACCTCTTTTATTTTAATAAAGTTTATTTTGTCTTTAGAGCTGAAGAATTAAGTTGCAAGGTGGGTGAGAGGTGTAACTAAAACTTAATTTACATATAGTCTGGACAATACATTTTTTAGCTATTTGGGCCAAGTACCATCCCATTTTGGTAGTAAAAGTTCATTTATGGGATTTTCTTATTTTCAGTACTGTAAACCAAAGCACAGATTTTAATGTTCCAACTGTCTACTAATTTTTAACCCCCTCTTTCTTGCCTGTTGCTTATTAACAATTCTCTTCCCTCCTCAGATCCTCTACTCCCCATGGCTATTGCCTTTCCTGAATTGAGCTTGAGCATGATGTCTCAGAGCAGGTGTTTCAGTCAGCCCAGTAGCTGTGACACCTGGAGACTTAGCATGCTTTCCTTTAGGACATCAAAGGGTGTACAAAGTCCTTGTCTTATCCCTGCCATTATTGCCCAACTAAAAGTGACGGGGTAATGGCAATCACTGAGGAGATACAGAGCAAGTGCCGGGTCCTGGGCTTGTAACCAGTGTCCTAGTGTCTGTTTCCCGTGCCTGTTCCCCTTTGGCCCATTCTCCCGTCTAGCCCATATTCATTGTTGTACCGCTTTGAGAAAGGGATCTGAGACTCAGTGTTTGCGGGAGTTTACGGATCCACAGAAAGACCAGCCTTGGCAGAAATGTTTTTCATTTCTCTTTCTGGTCTTTTCCAGCTGGCTAGACCAGGAACTCAGCAGAGACTTTGGCATTCCTCCTGTGGGAGCAGATTTTTGGGAGGGTACCTTTGTGTGGATCTCTTTAAAGCCACCCCTAAAGATAAGAGCTAATAAATTAAAGGAGGTAAAAGAACTGGCTGAAGTTGCTAGAGGCCACACTAGAGCTAAACGAAGAGACAAATTTGGCTGCAGCACCTGTGCAAACAGGCTGTCCCTGGAGAGTTAATTCACAGGAGAGGGTGGGCCCCAGGCGCTGTCCAAACATTCGTTCATTCTGCGTTGAGAGAGCACATTCCTTTTGTTAATGGGGCCAATCCATAAAGGCTAAACATTCCTCTAGCTACATTACATGAATTAATTCAATTTTTTTGTTGTACAGAAATACATTATATTGGCCAAAATTTGACTCCTGTGGAACAAAATAAGTACATTGCTCCAGTGACACGTCATACTTGCAACACAGTCTGTTATGTGTTGTGAACATGCAAAGGCAAGAGGCAAAAATGTAAAGACGGCAGAAAAGGGGGTAGTAAATGTCTTGAGGTCTCTCTTTACTGGTTGAATTTAGTATTCTGCAGGGGAAAGTATAGATTATGCCACTAAAAAAAAGGGAAAGAAAAACACAATAAGGAAATATTAAGATCCAGCTTAAAAGCATAAAAAAGGAAAAGCAACTTAGATGCCTAAAATAATCATGTTATAGTGAGCTATATGCGTTTGTTTCTGTGATGACAATGGATACAAAACCCATTCTCTTTTTTCCCTTTTTATCAGCCATCAGTAGCCAATCGGGCCATGAGAAGAGTTAGTTCAGTTCCATCTAGAGCACAGTCTCCTTCTTATGTTATCAGCACAGGCGTGTCTCCTTCAAGGGGGTCACTGAGAACTTCTCTGGGTAGTGGATTTGGCTCTCCATCAGTGACCGACTCCCGACCACTGAACCCCAGTGCATATTCCTCCACCACATTACCTGCTCAGCGGGCAGCATCTCCGTACTCTGCGCAGAGATCCGCCTCCCCAGCAGCTGTGCGGAGGATTGGGTCAGTCACCTCCCGGCAGACTTCCAATCCCAACGGACCAACCCCTCAGTACCAAACCACCGTCAGAGTCGGGTCCCCATTGACCCTGACGGATGCACAGACTCGAGTAGCTTCCCCATCCCAAGGCCAGGTGGGGTCGTCGTCCCCCAAACGCTCAGGGATGACCGCCGTACCACAGCATCTGGGACCTTCACTGCAAAGGACGGTTCATGACATGGAGCAATTTGGACAGCAGTATGACATTTATGAGAGGATGGTTCCACCCCGGCCAGACAGCCTGACAGGTGAGTACAGGTGACAGCACTCCATAAAGCCCCTGGAGAACATATGTGCAACTTCCACTAAAATAGAACGTGATAACGAGAAGTTTGTGTGCTCTTTTCAAAATGTATACTGCGGGCTTCAGGTTGACCGATCTTTCGGCCTCTGTAGTTCACATCACCTGACCTCTTCTGAAATGAATAAAGTTTTTTCTTTCACAGTATTAGGACATAAAAGTAATTTTGCATTTTAGAAGAATGGTTGGAATTCTCTGCTATTTGTTAATTTGTTTAATGAAAGGTGTGTTTGTTTTTTTTAACACCTAGGCCTACCCACATCCAAACCCAAGTTACATTTACATATTAATATTTTGAAAAAGTGCTTTCATAGTATAGGCTAGAATATGGATTTTCTCACCAACTACTTTGATTTTTAGCATCCCAATGGGAAAAACACAAAGTTATTATGAATTGGCTTCAAATGTCACTCAGATTAAATCAGAAAGACAGCAGCCAGCTTCCTGATGTTACAGCCATTTTTTCAGGCTGTCTTCATGGAGGGTTTCCCACACAATGTGTCAGCATGGCTCAAGTGAGAAGGGAAAGTCCCAAGCTGCTCTTTGTCCCTATGCAGGCCCACTCACCACTTTATGTGCCTTCCAGGATGTTTGCTTATATATATAAGTATATACATTACATACAAATGTGCATATATTGTGTTTTTATACTGATGGGATTCTATAATATGTATCCTCTTTTTAAAATATATTTTTATTGATTTCAGAGAGGGAGGGAGGGAGCAAAGGAGGAAGGGAAAGAGAGAGAGGGAGCGCGCGCATGTGCGAAACATCAATGATGAGAATCATTGATCGGCTGCCTCCCTCACACCTTCTAGTGCAATCGAGCCCGAAACCTGGGCATGTGCCCTTGATTGGAATCAAACCCAGGATCCTTCAGTCCACAGGCCAGCACTCGGTCCACTGAGCCTAACAGACTAGGGCTCTTTTTTTTTTTTTTTTTTTTAATATGTCTGAGAGCTTACTTCATTCTCGTAGTGTATACCTAGGACCTCATTTTTATAGATGCATTATAATTTATTTAATCACTTTTGTATTAATAGACATTTAGGTTTTTCATTTAGGGCTATTGGAGACAACAATGCTCAGTATGCATATTGTTCTTCCTGCATATTTACACATAGATACTAAGATAGCTGTGGCATCACTTCATGGCACAGAATTGCTGGATCAACTACATATTTGTTCTTACTGATATATTGTCAGGTTACCCTCTAGGAAGGTGGCACAGATTTAAATGTCCACCACTAGTATGAGTGTGCCCGTTTCCACTCTACCTTTGCTAGCATGGAATGTTTCATTTTTGCCAATGTAGTAGGCAAAACTGTACTTTATTGTTGTAAATGGCCTTACTGAGTTATGTTGAAGGAGGAAGATTTCATGTTTATCAGCCATCTTATTTCTTTTTTGTAAATCATAAGTTCAGGTCTTTTGCCTATTTTTATAAGTAGTAAAGCTTTTTATACTTGAAATAAATTAGTCCCTTATTCATTCTTCTTAATTATTTCCCTATTTTCTAATCCGTCTTTTGACTTGTTTTTAGTACTTTTTATTTACAGAAGTTTCTTTTTAATCCTTACCCAAGGATGTGTTTCTATTAACTTTAGAGAGAGAGGGAATGGGAGAGAGAGAGAAAAACATTGATGTAAGAGAAAAATATTGATAAGTTGCCTCCTGTGTACACCCCAACCTGGAATCGAACTCACAATCTCCTGTGCGGGTTTGCCTCTTCCCAAGTGTGAGTGAGTGAGTGTGACTCTACTGAGCAACCTGTCCAGGACTTTATAGAATTTTTAAAATATTTTTGTATAGTAAAATTAGTATGTTTTCCTTATGGTCTTTAGGAAAAGTAAATCCTTTTTGAGATTTTCCAATTGAATAATTTTTCATGAAGAATTATAATTAAATTTGATTTTGAGCTCGAATAAATTCCTAGTGGAAAAAAACCTCTCTTCACTCAGCCATCAGAAAGGTATACCTACCTGGCTTAGATATTTCCTGGCATGCCTCTGAAAAGTGTACAGAAACGTGATGTAGGAATCATTTATGAAATCCTATCTCCCAAGGTAACCTTAAAAGTTACATAGTTCTGAAGATTTCTGTCTTCCTCCTTGTGTATCTGCAGAATGGCTGTGTAGTAATCTGTTTGTGAAGAGCAAAATGGAAACCCAGAAAAGAAGCGAGCACATAAACACTGTCACCTGTTAACCCTGTGGTTTACAGATGAAATTAGACTTTATATTTCAGTCGGGGGAAATTATACGTAGCCTAGCACAAAGGTTTTCCTAGAATGCTACCATCTTTAGAAGAAGCAAAAGGTTTCTTTGAAAATTTTTCTCATCATCTATCTGCCCACTTAATCTGAATGTGGATTATATTTTGTGAATTCCCTTTTTTATTCTTACTTCAGAGAATGATGCCATTATATTTGCTATGGCTCTTGATTTCAAAGAAGTAATGATTTGCTAACTAATAAGCCTGAAGCAATATTTTATCATTGACTCCAACACTTGGATATTTGCTGATCATAACTTAAATGATGATGTATGTGTATATAAGTTAATTCCTACAACAGAAAAATAGGTTTGTCCTGAAATATTCATGTCAGTGTAATCATCGCATGGTAAGAAAAGTAGAAAGAATAATACGAAGAATCTATATTTGGGAGATAAATATGTGTTTATTTCCAATGTCTTAAATATAACAGTTTTAAATCACAGGTAATAATATATCATTGTAACAGGTAAAGTAATATGTATTTTTAGAATTGCAAATAGAAACTATTGAAAAGTATTGTTGTGGAAGATCAAGTACACACAAGTGTTGTGTTTTCTGTTACATAAATGGGGAGATAAAAATTACTCTGTGGAAATACTTCTGGAAAAATTATTTCTAATAACAATTATATAACATAATTAGTTATCTTTCATTTTAAAAAGTAGTGAATTATAGTGGGTTCCTAAACATAGTTATTTAACTTAATCTGTAGAAGCCATGTATTTTTTAAATGTTAATCTATAGGACCCTATGTTTTACTTTTTCTCATGAATGATCAGATAAACAAAATAGTAACAATTACTGTTATGTTACTCACGAAGATTTATAATATCAAGAAAGTACTACTACTCACTATAAATCTGTCTTTTATTTCACATCGTAGTCTGTCACATGGTAGTTTCATCTCACTAGTAGTCCTGTAAGTGAATATTTACTGGATACTTTCATTCTATATCAGCTCATTTTGTTACTTCCCATGAAATTGTAGTATATATTTACAGTATTTTCATGTTTTATGGATTCCAGCAGAGCATGTAGCCAGATCCTCCCACCATCTATAATAATCTATAGTAATAAAAGCATAATATGCTATTAAGACCAGACATCCTTCCTCCTGGACAAATGAGTGGGGCTGCAGCAGAGGTGGCAGTCTCCAGGCCACGGGGCTGGCAGTGGTGGCCGGCGAGGGCCCGGGGCTAGGCCCTTGCACAAATTGCGTGCTTCGGGCTTCTAGTGAGAATACAATGTTCTAATACTGGCATAGAATGCTTTGTTCTGATCACAAAGCACCATGGATGGTTAGGCCACCACCAGCGCCAGGCTTGCCTCTACCCAAGTGTGAGTGATGTTCTGAGTCTCAGTGAATCAAGAGTGTTTGTAGCTCTCCTGAGTGTTAACATTGCACCTCGTATTGATAAGATTACCAAGGACTAGCTATATTGACCTGCCTGCTTTATGTCACCATTAACAAAATCAGAGCCTGCCCTTTTGTTCAAAACACTCACGAACTCCATAAAGAAATGGAGCTTGTACTCTGCTGAAAGAATGAGCAATCTGCCAGTAATAAAAAGCTGAGACCCTCAAGTGAGAACTTTCAAGTAACAATCCTAATATCATCTCTAGAACCACATCGGCTTCTGTGGAGCCCTGGAGGGCTAACCTTGCTCTCTTGCTCTTGCTCTTTCATTTTATGTTTGCAGAGGGCTCTGTGGAGTTCAAGGTTTCTCACACCACTTCTCATTGACCCTTGAGGGATAGCGTGTCCAGTGCTCAGTGTGCAGTGATAGACCACTGACCTGGGTCCCTCACAGCCCTGCTGGAAAGTACCTCTGATGGAGATAATTCATATTTCCTTTGGGGCTCTCATTTTCCTTGGTTTTGAAATGAGAATGTTTGTCTGAATAACCCCCAATTATAGGACTGTTTAAAGCTTTGATCTTCTTTTAGTAAGTGAGGAGCCCATAGTTAAAACCCAGATTGATGCATTTGGTTTCTTCCCATGTCACTTAGCTATCCAGGGTAGGTAGTAATCATTCATTTTAGAAGTTTTTTGTATTAACTTTCTTGCTACTCCTCGGTAAGCAACATATAATTACCACTCACACTCAAGCCCATTTGCTTTTAGTTGTGCTATGATTAACTGAGATGTTAACAGGATGGGAATGATGCAGTCTTTTTACAATTAGTTACTGTGTTAATTATTTGCAGCCTTTTTAAAAGCAAATGACTGACTTCAGATATATTTGTGCTTTCCCTTGCTCATATTTGGATATAACTGTAGTTGGTATTCTTATCAAGTGGCAGATTTTACTCACAAACTTCTGAGCAGGATAGTATTGAATATATTAATACACTTTTATTCAGAAAATAAAATGTTTGGGTTTGAAATCTGTTTTATTGTGAGCCCTGTGCGTAAACATTAGTTATTAGCTATTTGAATGAAAGAATATTTCAAATGATTTTTAATATTCATGTACTTACTTTGTACTTTTTCTTTACACTGGAAAGATGGTAAACAAGAATCTGGTATGTGGGTTTTTTATGAAAACAACTGTTTGTTGATTTTTTTAAGAAAATAAAAAATGCAGTGATAATAAATAATAAAGTAATACTTCACAATACTTAATAATTGTTACTAATTCACTGGTAATATTCCAAATATTGTAAGGTAAAATTCTGTTTTTCTGTAAAAATCATGAGTGAATTACTTAAGAGACATATTTCAAAACAGTTCTTGACCATCAGCCTTCACTAAGCATTACTAGGGAGGTGTTGTCTTAGGAGTTGGGGTTTAAGGAGGCGTGGGACAGGGTGGGCCCTGCCCGCAAGGAGCTGATTGCCCACTTGGTAAGACAAGGTAATTTTAAGAGCAGGAAAAGAGACAGACCATCGTTGGTATGTGTTTAACAATGGAAATTGTATAATGATAGAAGAGGACATTCTCTTTTTGGTCATCATGATAAATAGCTTACAATTGGGAGAATAAATTTCAGGGTATCCAACAAATTAGTAATTCCTTATTATTTTTTCTTAGAAAATTTACTTTTATCTTGCTACTAAGAGAATTTTATCCTAAACATTTATGAGATGTCCTTTTCATACCTGGCATCCTTCCTTTGTAAACTCACTAGGTTTGGTGTTTTGACTTAACATTTGGTCCTATTGGCTAGCAGTTTCATTAGGGCTCTTAACCTCACCACAGTTTCTCACTTTCTTAACAATGCCACGTTCCTGCCTCTAGGCTTACGGAGTTCCTACGCTAGCCAGCACAGCCAGCTTGGACAAGACCTTCGTTCAGCCGTGTCTCCCGAATTGCACATCACTCCTATATATGAGGGCAGGACCTACTACAGCCCCGTGTACCGCAGTCCAAACCACGGGACTGTGGAGCTCCAAGGATCACAGACCGCATTGTACCGTACAGGCTCAGGTGGGCATTGGCTGAAATCTCACCAATCTGGTTGTCAAGAAAGCTGCTGTGGCAGCAGATCAATAAACAGTAAAACAAAAGTTCATTTTTTAACCTATTTTAGGTGATACCTTTTTACTTTAGTTCAGTCTAATCAGTGAATAGAGTGGTTATGCTGTGAATTCACAAATAAGTGTATGGAGCTGTAAATGTGACTGTCCTTGGATTAGAACTATTAGGTCTAGTAATAATTAATGTCGTTTTCTAATACCTTTTTTTAAATCGAATTTATTTAAACAATAGAACAAAATTTAATCAACAACATAGTTGCCGTTGTTTTCTACTACTTGTGCCCAACGCTCAGGAAGCATTTTAATGCCTCTGTTGTAAAATTCTTGTGATTTTGATGCAAAAAATTCGGTCAATGCATTTTTGAGGCATTCTTCATTATTAAATTTTTTTCCAAGAAGAAAGTTTTGCAAAGAACGAAACAAATGGTAATCGGAAGAGGCACTATCAGGAGAATATGCAGGTTGAGGGAGAACTTCCCATTCCAACTGGCTCAGTTTTTCAGCAGTGATTCTTGCAGTATGCGGTCGTGCTTTATCGTGGTGAAGAATTACGCCCTTCCGATTAATCAGCGCGGGTTCTTTTTCTCTTAAAGCTTGGGCTAACCTTTCCAATTGGGCACTATCCACTGCACTTGTAATGGTTTGGTTAGATGGTAAAAGTTCATAATGAAGAATTCCTTTAAAATTCCACCAAACACACAACATCACTTTTTTCGCATGCAAGTTAGGTTTTGGCGTGGGCTGCGGAGCCTCATTTTTGTCCAACCATTGAGGCCGCCTTTTCAGATTAACATACAGCACCCTTTTTTCATCTCCGGTAACAATTTGCTCTAAAAACGGCAAACGGTTTTGACGAGAGAGGAGCGAACTGCAAATTGTGACTCTTTGATTACGGTTGTTGTTGGTCAACTCATGAGGAACCCATTTTCCAAACTTTTGGACTTTGCCAAGTGCACGCAATTGATTGGAAATTGTTTCTTGTGAACAATTTAAAGTTGTCGCAAGCTCTTGTTGGGTAATTTGAGGATTTTGCACCAAAAGAGCTTGAAGAGCTTCTTGATCAAAATTGGACACACGGCCTCGACCACTCTTGTCATCTAACGAAAAATTTCCCTCGCGAAATTTCTCAAACCAACGCTGGCATTTTCTGGCGCTAACTGCATCTTGACCAAGAGCACTACAGATGTTTTTTGCAGCCTCACTTGCTTTTCTTCCTAATTGGAACTCGTAAAGCATGCAGTGCCGAATATGCTCTTCATCCGCCATCTTCTTAGCCCTAGTTTTACAACAAAAACCAAACCAAACACAAACTTTTTCAAGCAAAACTTGTTAATTGCACTTCACACGTTCTGTAGATACCACGTGTTTGAAGGTTATGTCAATACAAGTCAACGCCAAGAAAGATTTTAAATGAATGTTTAAAACGACATTAATTATTACTAGACCCGATATAACAGATATAGAAAAGAAGGCCTTTATTGGGAATTTTTTTGTTACCTGGAATGTGTATTTGGAGGAAATCCCTGTATGAGTTACTTCGCTATCTCTGACTTAGCATGTGTATAGTCTTGAGTGATCTTGGTGTTTGTTTTTTATATATATATATAATGGATTTCCTCCTAATGCTTAAGAGTGGAATGTGAAAAATATATTCTTTATGGTGGACTCAGTCGGGGACAGAAAGCAGTAAAGACATTTTTAAAAACAGGGAGCTGGTGCAGCACACCCTCATCTCTGCCACACCAGCTTGTCGTGGCTGGTGGAGCAGAATCTGTAGCCCATGGCTATGTAAGCTGCAGATTGTGCTGCCAGTTTGACTCAAGGAATCTCCTGTGGCCTCTTCTTTAAAAAAAAAAAAAAAAAAAAGGCAGTTCAAGTTTATTAACATGCTCACACATGAACTCCAGGTAGCTATGATAACTCCCTAAAGGCACAACCCTAGGAGACATACCACCCAGAACGAAGGAGGGTGAAGACTGTTCGAATTGGTTTTTTGTCAAAACATAATTTGGTCCACTGCAGGATTTTTCTTTATGTTCTGTATCTTGAGTATTTTCTTTAGTAGGATTAAGAAGTAATGCTATTAAACTCTTTTGATTGCAGGAATTTCAATCATTGGAAAAATACCTACTGCAGTGATTAGGAAAGAAATGTTAAATACAGTGTACAGCATCTTTTTTTTTTTTTTTTTTTTAATAATACTGATTTCAGAGAGGAGGGGAGAGGGAGAAACATTAGTGATGAGAGAACATAATTGATCAGTTGCCTCCTGTGTGCCCCATACTAGGGATCGAGCCTGCAACCCAGGCATATGCCCTGGCCATATGGTTCATAGGTTTACACTCAACTTATGGCTGGCTGGGCCAGTGTACAGTATCTTTATCCATAGGATCATGCAATAATTTCAGGGAGTAGCTGTGGTAGAATTTGATATATCAGTCTTCTTTCTTATGAACTTTCCAAGTTATCAAAATCCACAGGTCTATAAATGAAATGTTTTGCAAACTGAGTAACTTTTATACACTATTAAAAGTGATAGTTTAAATTTTTACAAATTTAACACATCTTGTTTTTTATTGCTAAAATGATGTTTTGAAATTAATTTTTTATTACATTTCTCTTGCTGTTACTGAATTTCAATAAACATATTAAGACCTATTATGAATCAGATTTATAGTTCCATTTTTGCTCTTTTCTGCTAATAAAATGATCCTAATATTGTTGGTGTATATTGTTAGCATATACAAAAAACTGAAGTGCCTTTTTTTTAGCACTAATGAGCTAAATAGGTAAAATCTAAAAATAAGCAAATTATACAGCTGGTAAAAACTATAACTCCTCTTGAAATTGAAAGCATTTGACTTTGATAAATATCACCTCATGAAGAACATACTAACCTTTTTAAAATAAATGTTTACTTTCTGGTAGGTATTGGAAATCTGCAAAGGACATCCAGCCAACGAAGTACCCTTACATACCAAAGAAATAACTATGCTCTAAACACAACAGCTACCTATGCGGAGCCCTACAGGCCAATACAATACCGAGTGCAAGAGTGCAATTATAACAGACTTCAGCACACAGCACCGGCCGATGATGGCACCACGAGATCCCCATCAATAGACAGCATTCAGAAAGACCCCAGGCAAGTACTGTTATGTGTCTTCCGAATGCTACGGAATTATAGAAGCCAACGAGTTCCTTTATTCTCACTTCTTTTCAAGTTGCCAAGACTCTTATAAGATGAGTAACTCCTTATCTCTTAATATTTCCAGTTGCATTCCAGTACTATAAGTCATTGTGGGTAATTTCATTTTAGATAATTCATTTAAAGAAGGAAAATGGATTCCTTCTTTCAATGCTTTAATAATAGGTAAGAGAATGCACGGGTCTGTCTGAATATCTGCAGCATTCATCATTGAAATACTTCACAAAGACAGCTCTCTGGTATGTCCTCAGTCTGAACCACACAAAAGATTTTTTAAGGATTATTTTACCCCTTTTCCTTTTTTCCTGACTGACTTCATAGATGAGAACTTTAGGAAATGCATATTGTTGTTTTAAGTGGGAAAGACCAATGTTGTACACTTTCAATCATATTGATCCATATTATTTTGAGCTTTTATTAAGTTGGTCCTTCATACAAGCTCTTTGCCATTTAAGAGAAAATCATTTACAAAAAAATTCTCATAAGCAAAAAAATATTTGTTACATAATGAATGTTTCCTTTTGTAAATTTTATTTGGATATGTAGAAAATGTTTTTTATTAAGAGAAGTATGAGTCATTTAGTACTTGCCTTTTACAGACTGGCCTCATCTTTAATGAAAGCCATTTAAAATATTCAGGAAATAAAGATGTTTAGAAACTAAAAGAGAACTCTAATTTCTATAAAAGTGAAATTATTGCTAAATTTTAAGCAGCTTGAGTGCTATTTTAAGGCATATATTAACAAGATTTCATTCACTCTTCGCCCACAGACAGTTGTTTCACTGGAAAATTGTTATAATTATCAATTCATTTTTATCAACCTACCAACTTATTCTAATGAATGTGAAATAAAAGCATCAGTGAGGTTTTGATCATTAAAACAAAATAACTAAAGGTACTTTAGAGTTAAATGGGAAGCCCTCTGCTTTCCTAAAACCACTCTACTTAACTCTTTTTTCTTAAATTCTTTATGGTTTATATATACATTTGATTATGCTTGCCACCTTTTTTTGTCATTTTAAGGATTTTGTAAAATAATTTGTCTAATAGCACCTCAGTGTAATTCAGAAATACTTTTACATGATTTTGTTTTTAAAAACCTCAAAATGACAAAAGAGTATGGCACCCTAATACATGAAGAAATCCTAAAAAGGGCTTTGAGTCAAAGGTAATTTAGACCATACCTTGGCTGAAGCTACAGAGAAAAGAACAGCTACCCAGAGAAGCAGTGCTGTGATTAGACCTTTGAGTATAACATGTGTCCCTGAAGAATTCAGTTCTGACATCTGATGTGAGTTGATTCACTATAAATAAGGATTTCATGTATGATAATATATTTCAGCTATTCATAGTATGATAATTTCATAGTCTAATGCATAAAACAGTTATAGCTAGCTTTGATTATGTGAATGCTTACTGATAATGCATTTGTAAGATGAATAAATGATTACCTTATAATAATAGATGTATTTTTTCTACCTGAAACTGGAATCCAGGTGAATTTGAAGTTTGAATATTCAAAGCTAAATAAAATAGTTATATTAACTATTTAATTTTTAGTTTTGAAAATAGCAACTTTAAGTATTTACTCACTTCTATACCTCCTTACTTTATGATTAATGTTACATTATAATTAGCCTGAAAAAAATCCTGTAAGACTGAAGAAATTACTCATGTTTTCTTTGTAAAAGATCTATGAGGGTTGGTTTTTTAAAAAATAGTTTTCTGGTTTGGAAGCAAAATGATTAATAGTACAAACAATACATCCTAAAGGAGAAAAAAAAGTACTTCCTATGGGAAGTGATTTAAAGTGACAGCATCCTGGTGATGTTTTTTCCAGCAGGGCTTAATCTTTGATAATTTCATTTATCATCTCCTTGACATTTATATATTGTCAAATGTTTTACTTGTACATATATTATAAAATCCATAATATACTGTTACTATTATTACTGTAAATAGTCAACTGTCTTTTAAAGAAAGTAATAGAAGTAAAAAAGATGGTTATTGTATTTACCTACATATTTACTATTTATAATTCTTCCTATCTTCCTATAAATTCAATTTTTTATCTCTTCTCATTTCCCTTCAAACTAAAAATGTCCTTTAGCCTTTCTTGTGCTGCATATCTCCTGTCAAGAAATTTTCTCAGCTTTAAACCTGAAAATGTTTTTATTTCACTAGTTTTTAAAGAATAGTTTTGCTAGATATAAATTTTGGGATAGATAGGTAAAATTCCACCACCCTCTACCCCCATTCTCCTCCCCTAGTAGTTTAAAAAATGTTCATTTATTGTCATCAGATCTTCATTATTTTTAATGAGAAATCAGACATCATTTGTATCATTGTTCTCATTATGTAATGAATCCTCTCTCTGACTGCCTTTCAGATTTTTCTTTTTATCTTTAAGTTTTAACAGTTTTACTGTCAGAGACTTAAATATAGTTTTCTTTACATTTAACTTGCTTGGGATTCACTAAGATTCTTTAAATGTTGGTTGATGATTTTGGGGACATTTTCCACCATTATTTGTTTAAGTATTTTTTGTCTTTCCCAAACTACTCTCCTCTTCTTCTGGGATAACTTGACATCTCACAGGTTACTGAAGCTCTCTTCAGATTTTTTAATCTGTTTTTCTATATATTCTCCAGATTGGATTTTTTAATTGGTCTGTCTTCAAATGTATTGTCTCTTCTACATTCTCCAATATGTTTAAAGTTCATCCAGTGAATTTTTTCTATTTCAGATACTTGCATTTGGTTCTTTTTTTTTTTTTTTTCTTGTACAGTTTCCATGTCTCTGATAATATTCCTCGTCTATTTGGTTTTTATAGACATCTTTTCCTTTAAGTCTTTGAGCTCATTTACAATAACCATTTTACAGTCCTCCTCTTATAATTACAACATCTATGTTTTTTCTGGGACTGTTTCTATTTTTTGGGTTTTTTATACTTTTTTAAGTCATATTTTTTAGTTTCTTCTGATGCCCACCAGTTAAATTATGTGTGAACTGTTATGGATGATACATTGTAGGGACTCAGGATTGTGTTGTCTCCTGTTAAGGTTCTGAGGTATTTTTGTGGCAGATAATTACTGGCAGACGCTTTTGATTCTGTTGAGATTGGTTTTGTTCTGTTAGGATGGGTCTATTTCAGATTTGTTTAACTCCTAGCACATGGCCCTTGCTCTCTGGTATAGTTTGTGAGATTAGATGCTCAGTAAGGTCTACACTCAGACTGAGATAGAAGTCCACCATCACTTGGCAGAAAGTCAGCCCTAAATTTTAGCCAAAGTGCTACCAAAGCAGGCACATGCTTAGCTCTCAGTCTTGCAGCAGCCAGCAGACCTGTACATGTGCCCTATACATGCACAGCCCAACACTCAACTACGATCTTGAAAATAATCCTCCCACACACATGTAGAATCTGCTCTGCATAATTCCCAGCTCCCCATTACCCTGCCCCACAAGTTCTAACCACTTTGGCATCTCCAAATTACAGTCTCTTCCTCTCAGCTCACTAAGCTCATCATTGATACTTTCCTTAAGGATCTGTGCTTCCTATGACACATCCCAAAAGTACCCTCGGGCAGAAAGCCAGGTGAATATTAGGCTCCTGCGGTAATTCCCTTTCAAAGATTACATCCCTGTGTTACCTGTTGTTCAGGCCCTGAAAACAGTTTTCTTACGCATTTAGAAGTCCGATGTACTACCCACTGCACTACAGAGTCCTCATACATTTAGTCCAATTTTATAGGTGTTTGTTGTAGAAGTATAAAGTTCATATGGCTGAAAACAGGAATCTGGGCTTAGGTTTTAATAAAGCAGATCCTGGCATTACTGCCATTCCGTTCCACCAGCCCATGAACTGATAGCCATCTCCCCAGGGTAAATTGCTGCTGAAAATCAAGGTTGGAGTTGATGCCAACCAAGCCTAACTACCCATCTCTGACTGGAGCCTACTCTTTGTGTTGTCTGACCCTCGTATCACCCAAGAATGCTAGGAAGTCTTGGGCACCCCTGTGCCATTTAAAGGGGACAAAAATGTGTATTTGTAATAATTGTGAGTCATCAAGGAAAGATTAAATCCCACTCCTTGCATCCCGTTAATTACGGCATAGATTTACATAATGGGCATAGGCAAATTTTAATCAGAAGTGGCTAGAATAGTTTCAGTGCATAAAAGGACATGTGATTGCAGATAATACGCCTGTTAATAATAGTTCTTATGTTAGGGATAATGAACATTAATAAAATATCCATATCATAATTTAAAGTATATAAATATTTTAATATACATTAAACAGTTTAATCATCACAGCCAACCTAAGAAGAAGTTAGAAATTATAGTTTTATTCCTATTTTATAGATGGTGAAACTGAAACTCCAATTAACAGGTTTTCAAAATCACATAGTAAATGAAGGACCTGGGACTTTAACATAGGCAACCTGACTCTAAATTATGTGCTTTTTCTGCTGTGTTATTCTACCCCTTAGCATTGAGGGGTATCTGTATATATGTTTTTATTGGTTTCAGAGAGGAAAGGAGAGAGAGATATCAATGATGAGGGAGAATCATCAATCAGCTGCCTCCTACTTGTCTCCTACTGGGAATTGAGCCCAAAACCTGGGCATGTGCCCTGACCAGGAATTGAACCATGACCTCCTGGCTCATGGGTCAGTGTTCAACCACTGAACTACACTGGCTGGGCCATTTGTGGTGTCCTTAATGTCTATTCATGACATGGTCATCCAGGCTGTCCTCCAAGCCAGAAATCTCCATGACTTCAGTTTTCAGAGGATCATATGGAAACTGTGCAAAGAGTGGATGAGAGAGGGCTGGCGTTTGAAGCATGTAGGAAGCTATTAGAGTGGTCCCAGCAAGACAGAGAGAATGGATGAGTATCTTCCTTATAAATGTGACCCTGTCCCATTCTGTCACTCTTCTGCTTCAAAACCTTCATTAGCTCTCCGTTGCTTATGTGGGGACAAAAGTAAGTTTACAGTGGTGAGTACATAAAACACAGTTTATTTTTATATTATTTATTAATTTTTGTAATTTTTATATAAACAGCTATAAACCTACTTTTGCCTCACCATGTCTATAGATCACCTGGCTGTAGATCACTAATCTTCACCACTTCATTGGTTCTTTGTCTATATCTAAAGTTATTTAATAGTGTTTACCTCATGGGGCAACAATGGAGGTAAATGAGATAATGTATAATATATAAAGCTCTTGACCCAATGCTTGATGCCAGTAAAATCAATAACTAATAACTTGTTGTTGTTATTAAAACTAAGCTCTTTAGTTTGACATCCATAAAATTAAATTCAGTGTTTGTACCTCTAGCACCTTAAGCCTCATAAGGAGCCACTAAATATTTGTTAATGCATGGAGCCCTCCAAGACCAAGAGAGACACTGGGCCTTTAAAACCGGGCAATAGCAATATCACTGGGTTGTTAATTTAAATGTTTTTGTAGAAGCAAGCCAAGTGTCCATAGAGAAATAAATGGGTAAAGAAAATGTGATATTTGTACACAATGGAATATTATTTTACCATAAAAAGGGAAATCATGCCATTTGTAACAACATGGGTGGATCCTGAGGACTATGTTAAGTGAAATAAGTCAGACACAGACTACCAGATCAAATACCATATCCCCTCACCTATATGTGGGATCTGGAAAAACAAAACTAAACTAAACTCATCAGTACAGAGAACAGATTGGTGGTTGCCAGAGGCAGGAGTTGAGGATGAGAGAAATGAGTGAAGGTTGTCAAAAGCTATAAACGTCCAGTTAAATAGTTCAAGTTAAAATTAAATATATAGGGATATAATGTACAGCATGGTGACTATAGTTAATGTAGTGTATATTTGAAAAGATGTTTGTTTGGAGAGTAACCTTAAAAGTTCTCATAATAAGGTAATAATTTGTAATGGTGTAGTGATAGGGGAAAATTTTATTCAATATTAATTCATTTTTGGATTATCAGTTTACTTTGTCCTATAATCAAAGTCTGCGAATTTGTTGCTTTTTTTTAAACTGTTTGTAAGAAATTGTTCTACATATGATATAAGCATAAATTCATATTTCAAAAGGATTCCAAATAGTGGGGCAATCAGCTGACATCTGAAAATTCTGTCAGTGGGATGTGACCTGAAAAAGCAAAATGTAAAAGTATATATGCTTGTTATGATTATATACTTCTTTTACAAAAAGTAGGATAGATAACACAGGTTGTTAGGCTTCAGGCTCTGGATTCAGGTTGCCAGAGTTCAAATGTTGCTCTACCCCTAGCTAGCTGGGTGACTTTAGACAAGTTACTTCATTTTTCTGCCCTTGTCTCCAAATCCATAAGGCTGCTATAAAAATAAATTACTAGTAATATACGTAAAATGCCTAGTACAGAATAGGTACTCATGAAATTTTAAGTGCTGTTCAATAACAATCCAGTTCTTTGGAAAAATATCTGTATGCACACATGAGCACATTTGCACATATTTTGAAAAAAGACCAGCAGAAAATGCCAGCAGTGTTTCAATTTTCTGCACATGGAATTGCTGGTAAGAAAATATTTTTAAATAATTTTCTGTGTTTCTTGCTTATAATTATAATCAAGAGCAGCCATAAACATGACACTTGTTGAAATTCATCAGGTCCACATTTGCGATCTGAATATTTCCACCAGCCCTTCTTCCTCTCTGCAACCATGACATCTCACCTAGCCAAAGTACACTTATTTACCTGAGCCTTGCACCTGCGAATTGCTTTATAGATAGAAAGACATAGAATTAGAATCAAGGCAAGGAAAATGAGAAAGTTACTCATGTTAAGAACTTGTCTGTCCTCCTAAATCTCTTTCTGTGCATCTTGTCTGCTTTAGGATCCGAAGCAGCTGGGCCTCTGCATATGTTCATCAGGGGGAAAATTATTTACATATACATGTATTTTAGGACTTTTCTACTTCTAGTTTTGGTCTCCGTGAGCTTTTTTCCTATGCCAAATGTAAACACATGGGCCTTCTTTCTGAAGCCGTCTTTTTCTCATGCAGGGAGTTCGCCTGGCGTGATCCCGAGCTGCCTGAGGTCATTCACATGCTGCAGCACCAGTTCCCCTCTGTGCAGGCGAACGCGGCGGCCTACCTGCAGCACCTGTGCTTCGGCGACAACAAAGTCAAGATGGAGGTACAGGACCCAGTGCCTGGGCCGCAGGCAGAGGCAGTGCCGTTCATTTTGCAGTCTCGTGTCTGTGTGCTTAAGAAATTACCAGATGCCCTTTTAGAGGGATTCTGATACCAAGGATTCTTTCACTTCGTAACTGTGCATTTCAGTATTTCTCAGGAAAAACTGGGATGAGTATATTTCTTAGAGTGCTTTTAGCACTTTCAAATTGTGGGTCCACTCATTAGGTCATTTGTAAAAATATAAAAACGTAAAGCAAAGGTCAATTTAAAATGCATTTATAAAGTATTTTTCATTAAAATTATAGTATGTCTGAAACAAGTGAGCTCATGTATTTCATGAGATTCTGGTCATGACTGTTGCCAACATACAATTAAGTAAAATTACAGATTTATAACTGTTACTAATGCTGAACATATAGGAATATTTTAGTTCACATTTTACGTTTTTTGGCATTTGCAGAAACACGGTGAGTCATTGGTTATTGGCTGGTGTCCTGTATCATACAGATTATTTCTTTTAACATTTTAAGTCATTCCCCAACCCACTGCAATTTCACATAGAACTTAAGTGTTTCTCCTCGATTTAATATGCAAAACAACATAACAGTTGCAGACCTAAAGGTGGATGCAATAAATAAAGTCTAGAAATGTTCACATAATGTACTGATAAATTGACAAATGGAAGAAAATTTAGAGAGAGTAGCTTAGAGGAACAGTTCTAAGAATCCATTGGCTTTAGTCACAGATCCTTTTCTCTGTGATTTCCAACCCTGCATGTAGCTTTATTGTGTTTGTGTATTTGTTCTTTGCACCTGAGAGTGGAAGCACATCCCTGTGTGTTCAGAGGGTTGGAATAGGACTGTGCTACCTACACCTGCCACTAATCCACCTTGGTCTCCCTTCCCTTTTTTAAGCCATGAACCCAGGAAATGAGCTGCATCTTGGATGGTGTCCTTAACATTTAGAAAAGATGGGTTATGTAGAATGAAAAGTAAACTTTTGAAATTATCTGGAGTTGTCCATTTCCTGTGATCTTTTTATAAGACTTTTGTTTGATCACTGCTGAATCTCATGTCACTTAGGCCTGGTACCTAATATTTCTCATTCTAGGTGTGTAGGTTAGGGGGAATCAAGCATCTGGTTGACCTTTTGGACCACAGAGTTTTGGAAGTTCAGAAGAATGCTTGTGGTGCCCTCCGAAATCTTGTTTTTGGCAAGTCGACAGATGAAAATAAAATAGCAATGAAGAATGTTGGTGGGATACCTGCCTTGTTGAGACTGTTAAGAAAATCTGTTGATGCAGAAGTAAGGGAGCTTGTTACAGGTGGGTAAAGAACGCGATCTTGTCCTGGAGGAAATGCTGAAACGGTCTGGACTGTGCCCTTGTATGGTGCCTGGTGAAGGAGTTGGAGGGTGTAGATAGGAGATGAAATAGTGCTCACAACTGTGACGTAGGCTGAGTGTAACTTAACGCAGTAATTCAGAAGGCTCTCCGGTGGTGCTAGGATAGTTATGCTTAGTCATGCATAAGTGTCAGCTAACAGGTCTTGTTCATAGAGGGCAGATGTCATTTTTATTATGTATTCCATAGTAAATCTCCATTTTAAAAGACTGTCTCCCCTTTATCTTGAAAATAAAACACTACACTTAATTGATCAGCTGCCTTCCACTTCACCTCAGCCCAAGTCCTAATGCCTGTTAGTATCTCAATGCTTTCCTTGGACCTGGGATGAATAGAACTCAATCCTGCCCTCAGGTAGCATGCAGACTCGGGAGGAACATGAGGTCCTGTGGATGGCAATGAAAAATGGCAAGTTAAAGGACTCATTAAAGAGGCATTGGGCTCTAGCTGGTTTGGCTCAGTAGATACATAGGCCTATGGACAAGGGTCCTGGGTTCACTTCCAGTCAAGGGAACATGCCTGGGTTGCAGGCTTGATCCCCAATCGGGGGCATGCAGGACACAGCCAGTCAGTGATTTTCTTTAATCATTCATGTTTCTCTCTCTTTACCTCCCTTCCTTTCAATAAAAATATATTTTTTTAAAAAGAGGCATTGAAACCACAGAGCATGAATGGGTAAGGAAGTTCCCTGTTTGACATGAAACTAAAGTTGTCTAAAAGGATAAGGAGGCTTTGGCTAAGTAAACAGGGGAGATACTTCAAGTCATAAGCAGAGGTTCGGAGTCAGCATGGGAGGGATGTAAAGTCAGAGATACCAGCCAGAAGAGGATGCTGAGGGGAGACCAAGCCAGAGGGAGATGCAGGCCTTGTTTGGGGAACCCAAATGAGGAGTCCGAGTCCCGCATGCAGTGGAGATGAAGGCAGGGCAGAGCAGGTTTGGGCTTTTAACCGCATTCTTCCTCAGGCAGCAGATGAGGTTGATTGGAAGGGAATGAGCCCAGCATCTAAGAGGCCTATGAGGACTTCAGGAGTCTAAAGATAACAGCTTGAGCTCCATCAATAATAGAAGAGGTAGATGGTGCAGAAGAGGAACAATTAGAGAAATATTCATGGTCAAGGCATGACGAACTAGTGTGATGCGTGAGAGAGTAGGAGGAACTGAGCTATTATGCCTCAAGAGACTGGACATTACAACACCATCAGGTAGATTGCAAGAGTGCTTGAGGTCAAGGTGAAAGAAAGGTTGTGCCGGAGGGCAAATAAACGGGAGCATTATTTATAATAGAGCATTAGTGGGAAATACTGAGTGTTCATTGGTAGGCCAATGATTAAATAAATGGCAGTATGCTCACCCAATGAAAGCATATACAAGGTTAAAATAAGTGTATTAAAGCAATCTATAGCAACATGGGTAAATCTCCAGAAATATTGTGATACTATTTTTATAAAGTTGAGGTTTTTAATTATTTTTTATATATGCATATGTAATAAAGTTAAAAGTTTTCATTGGAATGGTAATAGATTCATGATGATGGTTACAGGATGGGGGATTGAAGAAACTGGGATTGGGGGCTATAATCTAGCTTTGTGTCTTTAAAAAGAAAGTAACTTGAAACAAAACAATATTTAACTAAGTTGGATGATAGATACCTAGATGTTGTTTTATAATTGCTATGCTATTTGTCATGCTTGAAATATTTAAATATTTTTAACAACTTTTAAAAAAAATATATTTTATTGATTTTTTTTTTTTTTTTACAGAGAGGAAGGGAGAGGGATAGAGAGCTAGAAACATCGATGAGAGAGAAACATCGACCAGCTGCCTCCTGCATACCCCCTACCAGGGATGTGCCCGCAACCAATGTACTTGCCCTTGCCCGGAATCGAACCTGGGACCTTTCCGCAGACTGACGCGGAACCGGTTTCGGCAACTTCTTTTTTATTTTTTCAAAATTAAGCCCTTGCCTACTGGCTTTCACTATGAAATCAGAGTTACAGGTTCTGTCAGCTACAATTCAGTAACACTTGGGAATGTAGCAAACAATCATTAATCTAATATTTCAAGGGAATTAATTTACTCTTAAAATATTGGGTTCACCATACAGCATCCTGCACTCCAAATAAGATACGAAGCTTATGTACTGGGATTGTGCTGCCTGCCTTAATATTATTTGAATATTAATGTTTTAACACATCTAGTAAATTGCATATTGATTTATTAGTATGTACTTTCTATTTCTAAAATACTTTGAGACATCTCATCCTTTCACACCAAAAAATAAATTATTTACACCTGCATATATATGTATGTGTGTATATACCTAGACAAAATGAAAATTAGAAGAAGCTAAATAGAATTAAGAATATTTATCCTAGAAGGCCACACAGTCACTGTGGTAACACCAGAGCACTGCCCTGCGCTCCCTGTGGGGCGGCAATGGTATTGCAGTCAGTGCGTGCCTTCTCTCATTGTCTGATGTTTCATTCCTGTCACTTCATACTTTGTGTGTAATGTCCAAGTGTCTTCTCCCAATAACACATCTGTGCAGCCAACAAGATCGCCGACTGGCTGTCATCTCCCCAAGGGGCAGCGGTGATCCAGGAACCACAGCTCACCCTCAGATGTATTGTCTTGATTAACTAGGCAGATCAATGGTGACTTGGTTCTTACATTCTTAATGTGCAGCTTTCTTCTCATTTTCTGTCATAGGAGGACTAGGTCTCTGCTGAAGTTCTGTTTCTGAGATGTTTGTCTCTGGGGGGAACAGTGGCAGGGACTTTTTGAACTGAGTTTTAGGAGCTTGTAAGATGTTGTGATAAACAGGAAGAAAATTATATGAAGGTTTTGTGATTTTTTTTCATTTGAGAATAAATCAGATTTATTTGAAGTAGAGCCAGCCTTCACTATGAAGGGCTTTTATGTACTAATTTACCTGATTTATACACTGGATCTGAGTACTAATTTAGATCTTTATATTTTTCCATTTCTGTGTGGCTACAGTACTCATTGCTGAGAATACAAGCTGTTTTAAAACATGTACCCTGACCTTGAAAGGAGGATGTTAGTGTTTCCTAATTCTAAAAGAGCTATTTCCCTGAATAGATTATGTTGCTTCCAGTGTAACACTAGCACCAACCTCATATTTCTTTTTTGGAAACAGCTGCCAGTAGCTTTTAGGCTTTAAGAAGTATTTTTTTGGCCATACTTGTAGGGTAGGTGGGATTGCGAATTCTTTATGATTCTATCATTTATGACTCTACCCCTAACAATTTATTCTGATATGTGAACTGATTACTTATGACATGCTCTCTTCAAAATAGTCTTTACTTCGGAATAGGTGTGGTCTGTGTGTAAACACCCAATTGCCACGTTTTAAGGAGCTGGCCCAGAGGACTTAAGAAGTGAGTCCAGTTCAAAAGGCTAGATGTCAGTCAAGTTTAATGTCTTTATAAACATTATCTAACTACCATGAAACTACTGAGTCATAATAATAAATCTAGCAGAGTTGCGTGTATATAACATCAAAAGATCTTTGAGCTCTTTCATTAACTCTTCCTCAAGCCAAGTACTCATAAGCTGTCTTTAAATTACAGAACCACAAGGTTGGAGGGAAACCCAGAATTCATGTTGCCCAGTTAGCCATGGACCCCATGTATAGCTTTCACACAGTCACTGCCCGTTACGTGCTTGAACCCACAGGGACAGAAAGCTCATTACTTCATGAAATTAAGGCTGAGCATCAGGGTTATTCAAAAGCAACAAGGAGACATTAAGTGTGACTTGAGAAGACTAGGAAGATGTGCCCTCAGGAGCTCATTTTGCTAAGCAACAGCCCTGTAGGAGAAGACCTATGAGCCCCATCTACAGGTGGCTGACATCTAACCAGCCTCCCATGCATCTCCTAAGCAGGAAAGTGTGTCCCCATCTGAACCGTCCTCATTAAAATAGGTGTGTTCCAAAATGGGTGACCAGGTGCATGTGATCCTGTCACCCAGTGTTCCATATCAGCTGCCCATCTCTATAAAATCCCCTTTGTAAATAAAACAATATCCTTCCCAATTTCAGTGTTCTGCCAGTGTCTTCTACAAATTACTGTGGCCCTAGCCAGCCTTGCATGATGCTTGGACTTTGTAGGTATAGCCTCAGATTTTTTTTTCTTTTATTATTATTATTAAATTATTATCTGTGTACATATTTTAACATTGCCTCGCCCCCTCCCATATATACCCTCTCTTCCCAGAGTTTTGTGTCCATTGGTTGTACTTATATGCATGTATACAAGTCCTTCAGTTGATCTCTTATCTCCCCCAGATCTCCCAACCCTCCCCGCTGTAATTTGACAGTCTGCTTGTTGCTTTATTGTCTTTATATCTGTCTTTTGGTTCATCAGTTTATAATGTTCTTTAATATCCATAAGTGAGTGAGGTCATGTGATATTTCTCTTTCATTGACTGGCTTTTTTCACTCAGCATGATGTTCTCTAGTTCTATCCAGGTTGCTGCAAATGATGAGAATTCCTTCTTTTTTATGGCAGCATAGTATTCCATTGTGTAGATGTACCATAGTTTTTTGATCCAATCATCTGCTGACGGGCACCTAGGCTGTTTCCAGATTCTAGCTATTGTAGATTGTGCTGCTATGAACATAGTGGTACATATATCCTTTCTGATTGTTGTTTCTAGTTTCTTGGGATATATTCCTAGGATTGGGATTACTGGATCAAATGGGAGTTCCATTTTCAGTTTTTTGAGGAAACTCCATACTATTCTCCACAGTGATTGCACCAGTCTGCTAAGAATTGTTTTTGTGGGGGTTTTTAAATATATTTTTATTGATTTCATAGAGGAAGGGAGAGGGAGAGAAAGAAACATCGGTGATGAAAGAGAATCATTGATCGGCTGCCTCCTGCAGGGTTTGAGCC